GGCGGATTTTGGAAATTGGGGAAATAAAGGTACCAATGAGGATGATATTTTTATGGATGAATTTATTCCACCAATAACGTTTTACAGCATATTGCAAAGGTTATTATCAAAAAAATAACATCTTTTGAATGTTAATATTAATATATAAAAAGTTAAGTAAATCATTATCTACATTGGCGGGAATTTAATGAGATTTATAGTAAGTATTGTTTAAGAGATTGTATTACTATTACCGTATTTATTAAAGAATTGCGACCATAAAAAAAATTGTTTTAATAAGAGTTATTATGCATCCATAAAAAAAAAAAATATTAAAGATTGCCAATTTTGGCCGATAATAATAAAAAAAATTCGGCGGCGACTAAGTGACGTGCAAAAATACAGGTACAGTTATGGCGCGATATGGAGCAGGTGACCTGTATCTTGTACCTTTTGAGATTCACCCAATAAACCTTGAAAAGTACAGGTAAATTGAAAACAAATAATCCTTTTTTGTTTGCAATCTATTTATTAAATGATTATTATGAATGATGATATATGAAGTTGAGAAAATTACAATGTTATTATACATGTTAAAGGTTCTAGCATCTAGTTCTCCAATTTCTTTAAAATCCTAATTAAATGTATTACTTGAACCTTCTGTGTAGAAATATTTTGAAAGTGATACAAACATTTAAATTCCTTTGTTTAAATTAAATCCAAAGAATTAAAAGTCTGTTATATTTAGAATGTTAGAATATTTATTTCTCTGTTGTTTGAGATATTCTTATTTGTAATTTTCCAGATTTATTTATTGATTTCCATGATATGTAAAATTATTATTTTACAACAAAACCTTTTAAAAATCAAATGACTGACATCACATTAAGAAAAAATTGATTAATTGCCGATCCTTTTATAATCGGCAAATTTTCAAAAAATTTTGGAATAATATAAATTTAAAATCTTAAAAGAACCAATATTAAATTGTGGACCATTTTCTTGTTATTGATGGCAGCCTTCTGATAATGGAAAAGTATTCTCTATTTGTGGTTTTCTTTTTGGATCAGTAAGAAACAATCTTTAAAAAATAGGTAGGTATCTTTGAAAATATACAATAGTCAATAACACCAACTACTACATCTTAAAAACAATGGCTATTATTGCTCAAGCACTAGATTATTTTAAAGTATTTGAAAAGAAAATAGGTTAATGAACGAACATAAGGATATTTTGTTTATTCATTTTAAAAAGAATTTATTAATACAGAATTCTGGTTGAATGGTGGATAATTGTTACACAACCATCAAAAATATTCTAAGAGGTAATAATATGAGGGCTTTTCAATAGAAACGGATCATGTTGTGAAAATGATATTTTGAGAAGATGAAAAAAAGATCTCATTTTAACAAAATTTCTGTAATTTATATTAAATTGAGAATTCTTCAAGGATCCTGTAAAATATTTTGTGCTAGAAGTTATCCAAACCAAAAATGAGCTGAAAATATCCATGAAGAACTATCGGAACATGTGGAATATGGAAATATTGAAGAAAAAAAAAAAGATTTCAACATTTCTAATTGGATAACTAGAACCTATGTGGGTTGGAAAAAAAACAAATGGGAGAAGAAACATTATCTAATTTGTAAATTTAATTTTTTGTATGTCACAGCTTGTTTATTAATATAAGTATATAGAAATTATTATTATCATTACCCATGGATGTTAAATTTTTTTTATTTGATGATCGCATAACTAAGGTTGTGGGCGAAACCTCTTAATGACTGTCGAAACTCTGTCGAAACTCTAATGAACAATTAATGTGTAACCTGTCGAAACTCTGATGATTGGCAAAAACCCCAAATGCGAAACTCTGCCGAAACTCTAATAAACAATTAATGTGTAACCTGTCGAAACTCTGTCGATTGATTTCTGGAGGAGTTTCTCCCGCAACCTTATGCGTAACAAAAGAAAAAGATAAATATTAATACAATGTTATATATAATATACCATAAGAATTATTACCATTAGTAATATATATTGACTAGAAGATTTTTGATGGTTGTGTGACAATAATCTATCATTTACTATAGATCTAAGCATTAATATTAATACAAGAATGAATATTACCCAACTAGAATATTTTTGGTGGTCAAATAACAAACATCCATCATTCAAATAAACATTAATACAATGTTATATTTACCTATTACCATTAGTAATATTAACTAGGGTGTTGGTGTTGATTTTTTCTTTGATGGTAACAATAATAATAGTCATTTGACCATAGATCCGTTTTTTGAAGATTTCGACATTGCTAATTGGATAGCCAGGACCTATGCAGATTGGAAAAAACAAATGGCCGAAGAAACATTAGGCGCTTCTAGTTTATATTTAATTTTTTGTCCAATAAAAACGTATAAAATAAATAAATCAATTTAATTTTAGATTTTTTGAGCTCGAATCTGTCCCTCCCACTAAGTAAAGTCTTTCTCAAGACAAATGTTTAAAAATTTTTTTCGATATATAAATTAAGATAGATAATATGCAAGTCAATCGCGTGATTAAAATTTTAGGTTAATATATTTTTTGTGATTTTTTTTTGTGCTGCATTTTATGGTCATTTTAAAAAACATATAGTGCAGGACACCTAGTCCCTACAACTTTTATTAGTCTTGCAAATCCTTTAACTCCTCCGAAAATGGAAATGTGTGACCTAAAAAACAAGATGTCATTTTGAAGCTAAGACCTTTTTCTACAAAATGACATTTTCATTTTGTTGAGATGCCATGTTGTTGTGGAGGAATTAAGCCATAAAGTTGCACAAGTTTAACAAATTTACTATGTTAATCCCACAAAGTGACGTGTTACACACAAATTTTTTTTTATATTAAAAAATGAGAATTGAAAATTTTGAAATCTATGTTGCAGATCCTTTATCACGTGATATCAATAAAGAGAATGCAACGTGACAAATCTATTTTAAAACACGTGGCTGTAAAAATTTTATTGCATTTTTGATTGTGAATTTTTTCTCAAATCTGTCGCTGTGGCGCAGAAAGTTGTAGGGACTAGGTGTCCTGCATCATACAATGGACTAATGTAGATCAAACTAATTAACATCATATTAATATGGGGCAAAACCAGACAAAGTGAACATTGATATTATTAAAAATTTCAGGGTCCAAAATTTAGTGATTATTATCACAATTGCATTGTAATTATAATTTAACAGTCCAATTTGTTACCTTAAGTGATATATAGATCTTTCAGGTTGAAACCAACTCAAATTTCAAGGTAAATGAGTAATCGAAATTTATGACATAACCAAAGATCCAGAAAAAAACGATTACATGATTGTCATGCAATATGCGAATGAGAAAAGTCTTTAAAAATGTTAAATAAATATTTTAATGTATCGGATTGGGCAGATAAATTAAATATTTTGCGTTGTATTGCTTATGGGCTCGCTTTGATTCACAAAGAAGGACTAATCCATAAAGATTTACATTCCGGGAACATTGTCTGCACATCACTGTCTAGTTATTACATTACAAGTTTCAGATTATGCAGACCGATAGGGGTTCAAGGTTCGAAAATTTTTGGTGTGCCTCCATACGTGGCACCCGAAGTTCTAAAAGACAAGGATTACACTCAAGCATCAGATATATATTCTTTTGGAATCATCATGATGTAGGTTTTCACATGTTACGATGTTCCACATGATTTTAACTTGGCAACGCTCATTTGTCAAGGACTTCGTCCCAAAATCAGATGTGAAATTCCTCAGCTACTTATAGACATGGTAGACAGGTGCTTAAAACGCTAAACCCCAAAAACGACCAAGTGCTAAAAAATTATATAGGATTTTGCAAAAGTATACGCTCGATTATAAAAATTCGAGATCAGGATTTTACAAACAGGTTAAAGCTATCGAGGAATCAAAGAAAAAGTTTCCAACTTATGAACCAAACAAAATGACGGCAATACATTCTATGGCAATCTATACAAGTCATCTTTTAGATTTTGAAAATCTTCCTGAACCCGTTAATGCCACACCGGAAGGCAATAAAAATTATTTAAATATTGTGTGTGTATATAAATATATATATATTTTAGAAATATTTAAAATGATCGATTTTATTGTTTTATAGATTCAAAATTACTAGGGATTTATCAAAAAAAAATTCAATATCAAGTACTAACATAGAAATTTATCTTCTTGAAATAAGAACAAAGATCTTAGATAAAGTAGGAAGTGTCGTTTATCAAGTTGCAATTATTTGAAATTATTAATAATAAAATATTTTTTCGAAAAAAAAAAAAAATCTCCACAAACTCCTAAATATCATAATTATAATATAATTTGTATATATTTAGCATTGTACATATTTTTTACACATTGTATTTAACTAATAATGTATATTATACTCTATAATTTAAATAAAACTAGCTACATACAAGAAGGTTGTTTAATTCGATGAGTAATCAAGCTATAATATATATATATATATATTCAAAAAGTTAGCAAAATTATCGTAATAAATTAAATAGAAAAAGATTCTATTACAAATTCATTATATCATATACAAGAACTTTCGGAATTGCCTTCTCCAGTAAACGCTGAACAAAAATTTTGAATTGCACGATAATTTAAATCTTTTCTAGAAGAGTTGAGATCATCCCCATTAAATGCCATCCCCATATGTTTTACTTTCCAGGTAGGCATGTGGTTAAAGATAAAATGTAGTTAAAATAAAGTGTGGGGATTGGGAAATATATGTTATGTATTATTTATTAGTATAAAATAAATAAATAAACTAGAAATAATATGTAAATGAGCGCTCGTCCGTCATATATATATTTTTTTTCTACGTGCATTCGATACTTCCTTATTAATATTAAGCTTTAAAAGTTGCACAATTTTTTACTTGATGTGTTTTATTTGTGACACACTATTATTGGTCACAAAATAACAATAACACGCGTAAACTTCCTTCTCAAAACATTTAACAAGCGCGATGTCCAATCTAACTGTTAACTCGAACTCTGACTTTATAAGTTCTATTGGTAAGGTTGTCTTTCATTTTATTGGTGCCTAAAAAAAGACATTTATATATTTTTTGAAAAAAATTTTTTTTTGTAGAAATTGCCACTTCGGAATATTTTAAAAATATAGCACCTTCTTCATGGTCATATGAAAGCTTTCTTGCAACCATGAAACCTTACATTCTGTTGGAAGATGAAAGAGAACTTTCGGCCATCTGGCGAAAAAGATTTCTTAATGCTCTAAGTGTGATTATCACCAATTATAAAGAAAATGTTGAACCTAGTAAACAAGTTCAGCAGATTGCATCATTGTTAACAAATCAGGTAATATATACTTTTGATATTAGTATAGTCATTTTTTAAAGTACGAGTACGCGCAACTCAGAGGGGTTCAGTTCCTCTATTATTGCAAGGGAATCTCTTTAAGTCTTTAAAGATGCTGAGTATGGGGTTCAGTTCCTCGCGCCTTGCACAACCCAGGGAGGTTCCGTCCCTTTGTTCTTGCAAACAATCTTAGGGGGTTCAGCTCCTCCGAAGATTCCTGGGGATGGGGTTCAGTTCCTCGTGCATTCAAAAAAATTAAAAAAAAAAAAAAGTACCTTTAAAAATTTTGAAAAGAACTAATGGCTTCATTTGTCCCAGAAACAAACAGCTAGTGTTGTGAAATTCTGGAGGAATATCGTTCAAGAGAAAACAAGGCAAAAGTAGAAGAAAAACTTCGATATACACAGGTTTGTTTGTTTTTTTGTAAAAAAAGAATATTATTTTTTTTTGTAAATGACACATTGTTTATACATTCTTTGAATTGTTGAAGTTTATCTTCAAAGAAAACTCTAAGATAGACGCTTTAAAAATATTAAAAAGTGCAAGGACACAACAAACAGCCCAATTGAGTGGTGAAATTAATCTTAATAAACAGACAATTAGTAACGATGATATTGGTATATATGGTTCAGATAGCATTATTGGTTGTATATGTGTTTAGCAGGAAATGCAGATAACTGTTACCCCAATAATAATGTTTAAATTAATAAAGGATTAACAAGATTAAAAATTTTACTCCTAATAGATTGATATTAACACTTCCTGTTTTGAAAATCAGTAATTCCGGAAAAAAGAACAAATCAGGTATTTACAAACATCTTGCTGTATATGATTTAATCAAGATACTTATGATATTTTTTCCTCTTCTCACTTCAGGAGTATGCGAAAAACATATTTGATGATGATGATGATAATAAAATAAAGTGTTATGAAACAGTGAACAAAATTAAACTTGAACATGTAAAATATGATCCTAAAAGTGATATAGTTGATTTACGACCTAAATCGAAATTTTTTAAACAATTATCATTTGAAGATGTTCAAAATTATCATAAATAAATTGATGAAATCACTGAAAAATTGATTCCTGATCATATTCACAATTTTCTTATTGATTTTTTCTCTCAAAAACTTTCGGAAGCGGAGTGGCAAAACAAAATTGATGATCTTTGTCCACCAAATCATGACGATAGTTTACTTGTTGCAACAACAAGAATAATACGAAGAACATTGCCACAGTTGTACGTATAAAGAGATCTTTATTTTTTTTTTTTAATCCAAAATACATTATTATGCTCAAATATCTCTAATTTTGTAGCATTAAAGCATTCGCACTTGAGCATTTAATCCATTGTTAAACATTAAATCAATTGAAAAACCACATTTGAATGCTTTTGTACACCCATGTCTAGATGCTGCACTCTGGTACATTGCTCGGATAAATTATGAATATGGAGAAATTCCTTCACAAAATCATGTAACTCGTAATTTGGCAGATGGTGTAGGTTACATGACGAGCGCAGATAAATTTCAATTAGTTTATGTAGAAGGTGCAAGTCCCGTGGCAAAAGAGGACAAAGAAATAGCAGATGCAGAAAAAATCGCGAAAAATTTAAGGAATATGTTCAATAACATAATAAAGAATTCTTTTAATAACAGGAAGTGTATCCCAGAAAGTTTGAGAGTCTTTGGTGGTCAAAGCTTCAGATTACAGATATATCTCTTCTATTTAGATTTCCATGGTATGCCACATTGTATTAAAAAGTATCAACTTTATATATTATTTCCTATTGTTAACGTTGTTATAATTATAGACAAATATCACCTACATGAAGTAGAAAATGCAAACCTTCCAAGGGACTTTTCGGAGATTGAGGATTTTGTTCCTTTTTATGAGTGCATACTAAAATGGGCGGTATGTATGAACATTAAATTCAATATAGCTTTTCTCTGAACTACTATAATAACATCAAAACTCTTCTGAATATATACAAATTTAGTTACTTGTGAAAGAAATGACAGAGAAATTCGAAATTTCAAGAAAAAATAAAAGACCATCACGTAATTCGTATTCAAGAAATGTTCGTTTATTTGAAAAATTACAAAAAAATTCTTTTTAATTACAGAATAAAATGATTAAATGTTATGTGTCTTAGAGTATTATTCACAACGAAAAGGACAAAAAAGAATTTACACCTTATTAATGAAATGATAAATAAAAAATTTGTTGGTAAAATAAACTTTTCCCAAGTATTTATGGCATGCTGTTAAATTTTAAATCAAAAGATGACAGATAAATCATTATGGGTCATACATGATAACTAACTCATCTTTTTCTATATCCTATGTAAGAATTTATTTTTGTACTAAGTAAACCACATCTAATTCTTTCACAAATTAGTCATGATGTTATTAATATTTTGCAAAAAAAATTTTTTTGACCAAAAGTCTCGAAACCCGGTTTTCCATATGTTCTAATTTACAAGTTTACTTAGAATAAATAATGATGCCAATTTAGGCTACAATTTTTGACTTTTTAATATAAGCTACTACATAAGATAATAAATAAATTAAATTAAATTAAATAAATAAATAAATAAATAAATAAATAAATAAATAAATAAAAAAAATAAAAAAATGAATAATTAACGAAGCATCAACTTTCTCTTCTTGTGTGGAAATCTACATAGCAATTTCTAGTTTGGGAACAACATAATACATGCAATACAATAAATATATGAACGATTTGAGTCTTATTTGATTTTCCTTCATTTCTTTGGGTTAGAAATTTGCACCATTCACACACAATCCTATTCCGGAAGATGATTATTTTCAACGACTAATCTTTCCATGGATAATTCTGATCTTTGCTTGATGTAAGAAGCTCTGGATGATGGTGATGGTGATGGTGATGATTCTATGAAAAAAAGTTGTTACACGAAATTTACTTTAGTCTCAATTTCTTAAATGTATAAACAAAAATTCGGAATTTTTAAAATGCTAAGGCTCTGCCAATTTTCAGTTTAAGAAAAAACCAGCCGATAAGTTTTGAAGCTTGAGTCATGAACAATAAAACTTGACGGTTAAATTTTTTAAAATGATATAATTTTTTTTTGTTTTAGTATTTTGAAGTTGACCAATTGTTACTAGGGGCAGTGTTCGAAATAATTTCCAAATTAGGTTAGTGTTATGTTAAGGCGCAAGTTGAAGAAATATTATTATTTATTGCCATTTTTGAAAGTCATGTGATAAGTTGTTAAATGAAGCAATTAATAAAAACGTTTAATTAATCAACACGAAGCGAAACACATAATAGTAATTAAATCAATAATATATAAAATATTTAATGTCGGATTTGATCCGATTCTGCTTGATTCATATTTAATAACAAAATTTTTTTCTTAATATTAATAATGTGTGCGTAATTTAGATTGATAACAGATCTTTCAAAATGTCGATAGAAGAGAATTTTGATGAATTATTAAAAATTTTTAATAATTTTCAAGAGGAAGAAGAAAAAGAATTTTTTGATAATAATTCTAACTCCAACTCTAACTCTAATTCTAATTATAATTTCTCTAATCCAGAAAATTTATCAAATGATAACAGTAAGAAATATGTTCCATTATACGTTTATGATGGTTGGTATCATAAACCTCCTAAAGTGGCGATAAACCTTTTACTGCAAGAAAAATTTGGACCTACACAATTAAAAAATTCAATTGAAAATTATTATTTTAAAAAAAGTTATCAGGAAGCATTAAGATTATCGTTAGAATATATTGATTTTGTAGAAAAATCAAACAATCACAATTTAGCTAATGATGGTAGTAGTAATAGCAATGTTTATAATAATCCCAATAGATTAACTAGTACGCGTGAAATGTTAGAAATAGCTTCTCAATGTGCTTTAAAATTGGGAGATATTGAATTGGCTGTAAAATGTGCTGATAAACTGGTCAGTATTAGTTGGTTAATAGATGATGGATGATGATGATGATGATATATATATATTAATTTGACTTTATTATGGGTTTTTTTAATTGAAAGGTTTCAAATGAACCTGGACATATAAACCTTAAAGGTATGATTTATTCTAAAGGTGGAAGATTTGCAGGTAATTAATTAATTAATAGGTAGGTAGTAACCAATTAATTAATTAATTAATAATCTATCAAATTACTGATTCGATATTATTATCATCATAATTCTAGATTCGATCAAATGGTTTGTTAAATATCAGAAAATTCGTAAAAATGATTATATTGTGTGGAAAGAAATTGGTAAAACATTCATCAATCATTCTGAAAATAAAACTGTTACCGATAGTAATAATAGTAATAGTAATAGTATAATATATCAACAGTTTGCATTGATATGCTTGAAACATTCTTATAATATAATGGTAAAATCTAATTGGCAACATCATATAGATTATTTAGAAATCAGATATTTGGCTGAAAAGAAAGAAATTGAAGATTTAATAAATAATTTAGATAAAAGAATTTTACTAAATGCAGTGAACGCAGTGAATATAGTAGAATTAACTGATTGGATAAATAATTTAAAGAATCTAGAAGAAAAAGAAGACCATTCATCAAATAACCTGGATATTGGATCGGATTTTATTAGCAGTGAATTATTTGAATGGATATTAGATGAATGTAATAATAGTAATAATAGTGATTGTAATAATGATAATGATTTAATTGATAATAACTTTAAAAGCTTTAAAGATTTATAAAAAACAAAAATTAAAAAGTTAATTTACATTTTATTGTTTACTGTTATGATTTATTATTATTGTCATTACTTTGTTCTATTTTTGGTTTTCGAAGTTCGAATGAATGTTTTTTATTAAAATAATCAACCTAATAATAATGAATATGTATCAATATATATATTTATAATATTATATTCCTTTTTCCTTGAGCATAAAATTTTCCGCACCATCATTTACTCTTACCCAACTTGCAATACACTTATCTTCGTAAGCTCCTTTTATCTTCCAGCATCCATTCTTTTTTACTAAACTTTTTATTGATTCATCATTATTTACCGTCGTTGGATCAATTTCTCCAAGACATTTAAAATATTCATCTCTTAATTTCCAACATAATTCTCTATCTGATCGAACTGGTGGTTGTGACATTTTTATTTTTTTTTAAAAAAAAATTTTATCAGATACCCAGGATCGTCATTAGTGATTCCATAATAAATGACTGTTAATCGTAATACATAATAAATTCAAATTCAACAAAATGTGTGGAAGATACGTGCTTGCCAAGGTAAAAATTATATAAATTATATTTTTAATAATAACAATAATAACAATAATTATGATGATGATCTAGGAGTCAAGTTCATTACAAGGTTTTCTTGAGAAGAAATTTAATTCAAATATTACAAATTGGGTTGATAAAGAAACTTATTGTCCATCGTAAATATTCAGATTTTTGATTTTTATAATACTCTGATTTCTTGAAAACTTATTCCTTTCTCTTACTCTTTCTCTCCCCTCTTCTCTCATCTAAAGTTACAACGTGGCACCAGGACAATATCAACCGCTTATAAGAGCTGTTAATAATAATGAAATAATTATGCAAAATATGGTAAAGATAATTGAAAAATATGCAAACAACAAAAAAACAAACATTAATTAATCAATTATTGAATTTAGAAATGGGGATTGGTTCCATTTTGGACAAAGACATCCCCGGATTATCCAAATATCATTAATTGTCGTGATGACTCATTACTTGATGGTGGTAAATCAATGTTTACATCGATGAAGAATTCTAAACGTTGTGTAATAATAGCTGAAGGGTAAATAATAATTTCAATGATAAGGATTTTCTTGAGAAAAAAATAAAATAAAATTGCTCAATTTTTAGATTCTATGAATGGCTTAAAAAAGGAAATAAAAGATTGCCATATTATACCAAAAGAATAGATGGTGAATTAATGTTATTTGCCGGACTTTATGATTGCGTAACATTCGAGTCATCGGAAGAAAAAGGAGAAACAGGAAAAGAAGAGTTATACACTTTTACAATAATTACAACAAAATCATCAAAGCAATTATCATTTCTTCATGATCGTATGCCAGTAATTTTAAATAATGAAAAGTCATTAGTTGATTGGTTGGATGCAGATAAAAAATGGTCACCGGATTTAGCAATTATTCTTAAACCTTATGAAGATGGATTAGAAATGTAAGTGTTTGATCATTGGTGGATTGTGTGTTATTGGAAGACAGACGCCTTTGCCTAATATTTATTTTTGTAAATTTTATATTTAATTTAATCTATTTGGATAATATTTATTTTTTGTAAAAAGTTATCCTGTATCACAAGATGTTGGCAAAGTAGTAAATAACTCGCCTGAACTAATCGTACCAATCAATTCACCACAATCAAAAACAAATATTGCAAATTATTTCACTAAAAAAGAAGTTGGATGTAGTAGCAAAACAGAAGATGGCAGTGGTGAAACAGAAGTTGAGTTAATAGTTGGGAGTATAGCTGGTAAAGAATTATCTTCATCTTCATCTTCAAAATTGAAATCAGAAACTTCAAATAGACGAGATCTCGATAATAGTGAAGATGGAAAAGATAAATCAAATGAAACATTATCAATAACTCCAAAAAAATTTAAAACGTCATTACCACCTTCATCATCGTTGTCATCATCATCGATATCTTTGCCGAGAAAAAGAAAACAAAATCATCAGGCTGAAAATTCTAGTAATAAAATCACACGATTTTTTCAAAAATCAGAATCATAGTTATAGTATCAATTTCACAAATGCATATTTTTATAATTATTTATCATAGTAATAGAGAATGTAACATTATATATCATATATTATTATCAATTAAATTAATTATAAAGTTGATTATTACTTGGGCAAAAGTTATTTTTTTATTTTTTAAATTTGAAAGAAAAAATTACATTTTTATTAATTTTTAAAAAACTAAAATCAATTGATTTAACAATGCCATCTACCAATGAAAACTTTGTATTCTCTCCATTTTTCAGGAGCATGTTTAGGAATAATAATAAATTTATAAACTTTAGCACCACATTTACCAACAATTCTTGGTATAACAATCAATTTATAAATTTTAGCGTGTCGACATTTTTCTTTTGGAATCACGATCAACTTGTAAGCTTTGTAAACACCTTTCTTTTTTGGAATAACCAAAACTTTATATTTACGAGGTCCTTCAAAAGTTTTCTTGCCATCATGAAGTCCAAAATAATCATCGGATGTTTGAACGATACGATTTAATTCGGCGTTAAGTTCCGTTGGTTCCAATGAGGCAGATTCAATAGAATCCAAAGATGAGACTTTCTCGTTGTAAGCTTGACATTGTGTTTCATCGTGAATGGTAGTATCGTCGGTATCATCGATAGGAATTGAAAGGACTAAATTAATTGACAATAGGACCAAAATAAAGAACATTATTAAACGTGACATTATTTTTTTTTTTCAATAATAATAAGTTTTGATTATTTTATTATTATTATTTGTTTGGATATAGAAACAAATTTTCGACGAAGAAAATTCAGATTCTATTTATAATATCAAAAAATCATTTTAACTCGTGTTTTTTATTTAGATTTACTCTTTTCTTTACATATAATTTTGATTTACTTTTTTTTTTTTTTTTTTTTTCACGCAAAGAAAGAAAAATAATGTCGATATTGATGATAGAATTTTATAAACTTTAGATCAATCATTAAGTTTCTTTTATTGTTATTATAGGATGGGTAAGTGAATTGGGAGCGGGAACGAGAAGGATGGAAAAAATTTGTAAAAGTAGGTTGATTGATTTCATTTTTTTCCTTCCCAAAGATAATCTCGATAAAAAAAACCCGTTGATTAATTGGAATGTTTTTACTGGGTAGACAAAGATAAATAGATAATGATAATGTGCATTTTTGTAAATTTGATTAACTTCGTCAAAAATTTTGGTTTGTGCTCTAATTCGTTTATGCATCTATCACTATGAAGGAGTTGTACGCTCAGTGAATCTCGATTTTGACTCAATATCAAGAAATTTTATCCGCTAAATCGAAATATCCGTAAAAACGAGTTAATAATAAAATCATGTGACATCAGTTATATAATAATAATGTAATAATAAAAATCTGCCAAATCCGTTTAAATCAAAGATAAAATAATAATAATAATAATAATAACTAAAAAAATTCTGTTCCGAAATTTTATCCGTTAAATCGAAATCCGCTAAATCGAGTTTCACTGTGTATATTAATATGAAGACAAATCCACCCATCCGTCCTTAATTGGATAAAAGCCCCAGAATTTACTCGTCAAATAATTTTTATGTCATTCAAAGTACCAAAGCTACAACAAATAAAGGCTGCACAGTTGAAAAAAGAAGCCATCGATTTTTTTTTTGCACAGAATTTCTTGGCATTTATAATATATTTAGTAATGATAGACTAGCCAATATATATAGTATTAAAATCGTAAATCTTTGTTAGAATAGAAAAAAACAGAAAAGGAAAAAAAAAAAAGAAAATTCTGAATCAATCAGGTCATAGAAAAAAAATAAATAATGAAAGAAAACCATAAATAAATAATTTTGAGGAAACAGTGCAAGAACTAGCGTCAAAAGGCAATATAAATTATCAAAACGTGAAACAAAAATAATCAAAAACATGAAACAAAAATAATATAAAATATATAAAAAATAAATAATATTTATGAAAGATAATATTAACTTATATAAACTTCTATCGAACATTTACTATTTGTAATATTTTTATATGGTGAGTCTAAATCTTAAAAGGTTGGTGGCGTTGCTTATCTAGGTTTATACATCTGTGTAACTGTCTGTATTTATAAAATTTATAAAACCCACCATTTTCTATTTATAAAATCATCATTTTTTTTTCTTTATTTTTTTCTTCCAAGACAAGAACTAATTGTTAAAGAACAACAAAGGACGATTTGATTATTCACCAAATCACAAGAAAATTAATATAATATAACTATATATTAATAATAATAATAACAATAATATAAAAAATGATGATAAAATATTTGTTACTTTTTTTTATAATAAATTGTATACTTTTAACAAATAATTATATATTACTTGCTAAAGCACAAGAGCACTCATCAGAACCACAAGCTACGGCCTCAAAAAATGAACCAGCAACAGTAACAGCAGACGTACCAACAGAATCAGGGACACCAACATCATCGAATAAAGAAATCATAGCAAGTTTACCTCAAGCAAAATTACATTGTTCGGCTGACGAAGATAGTCCTTGTGCAAAGGCAAATTCTACATTGCTTTTCGGATGCAATGGAATATTAAAGACTCCTGATCAATATATTATTAATGAAAATACTTTTAATGGAACTTATGAACCTCAAAGTAAGTTTCTCTCTTTCTTCCCCACCACTGAAGAAATTAATCAGTCAATGACTGATGGATGATAAGCAATTTCAAATTTAATAATTATTTATTAATTGATTAGCGAGTACGTTGGCAAAGTGTATGTGTAATCAAGAATTTTATGATCAATTGAGTGGTTGCATTGAATGTTTTAAGAACTATTCAAAAGTACATTTCGAAGTTGCTCCAGTTACGAGGTTTAAAATTCTTTGTGCAGACCGTTTCTCAACTGAATTTACCGAGTCTCCACCGTAAGCATATAACGTAAATTAAAAAAAATTTTTTTTTTGAAATTAACTAATTAATCGCACGATTTTTTTTTTCTGTAGTGAGACAATTAAATCAAATAAAACTAAATATGTTATTGGGATAAGTGTAGCAGTATTGCTATTAATAATCTTGGGAATAATAATATATCTATGTATTGTAAAACGAAGAAAAAATAAAAATAAAAATAAGAGAGATTCGATGAAATCCTTAAAATTGGTAGATAGCAATACCGTTAATACACCATTAATGAAGAGTTTTGCTAATAAGAATAGATCAGAACTTGATGTATATTACCCACCACCAACAAGTTTAGAAAATGTCAGTCATCATTATCCACCACCAAATTCACAGCAAACACACCCCCCATCCGATACTCCAATATCACCAGTATCACAACAACAGCCACCGTCACCACTTCCAACATCATCATCAGATTATCAACAACAACAAACTTATTATCCAACATCGTCAAATCAGCCCGTAAGTAACATACAAATCCCAACTCAATCAGCGTCAGGGGAAATTCCTTACTATCCACCACCTGCAAATCCTTCCGATTTGTCACCATACCCCGGACCTCAAAATAATAATCCACCTGGTAGTTATTATGGTAACCAATATTGAGAGGAGGAGGGGGAGAGAAAAGTGAGTGCGAGTTATGAAGAGATATTTTATAAATAAATGTATATTATTATTATATTATTATATGATATTTTTACGATTAGATATATAATTAATTTTATTTGTATTTTTTATTTTTATAATTATTTTTATTGTAATTTTTTAAGAAACAAATAATAAAAAAATAATATTAATAAATTTTCCGTTCGATCCTTAATTACTTGAATTTCTTTCGTCCTTTTATCTATCATATTGATAATAATATTTGACATAGTACCAATTTGACTCTTTCTACCAATTAACATATAGGACGCATATTAAGGGTTCTGATCTAGGCTGAACTTGTTTATTATTGTCAAGATTTCAAAATCTTTGTTCTCGTGCTTGACGTTCTTGTCACAGGACGAGAACAAGTACCCCATTTATTACGTATTGCTTGATAATCTGGAAATGTAGAATAAGAAAAGAAAGGGGATTCTTTGAACTTTTTTTTTTCACTATTATATAGAGAAAATTACTTGAAAAGTTGGCCGAGTAATGTCGTTAATAAAAGAGAACAATATTAATATACAGGACTTGAAACTTGTTCCGGAAAGAAACCGGTTGTATTCAATTTTAATATTATAATATAATTATTAGTGGACACCTGTTGCGGAAGAAATCAAAAACAGTTTTCCAAATGTTGAATACATATGATGCCTTTTTCAATCTAATGAAAGCAAAAATAGAAATTGTTTGTCGATTGATACTTTAGATAAATTGTTACTATTACGAATTTCATTCAGTAAAAATTTGGTTATAAAACTGTACATCATTATAACCAAATATAATTTTGAATTTCAATAAATTAAAATCTGGCTGCAACCGGATTTTTCAAAACGAACCGGAAAAACCGGTTACTTAAAGTACAATTTCAAGCCCTATTCTTATACAATATAATATTATTAATATAATAAAAAGGAGATTAAGATAAAATTATTAATTAAAAGGAAGGGATTATTATGATTGTTGTTGTTATTAAAAGATTTTTCGTTTATCAATTGTACGTAGATATATATTTTTTCTTCATGATAACAATAGTAGGGATAACGTCAGTGATTCACCTTTGGATATCCTAAAGGGATTGTGTGCAGATGTGGTCTGGATAATGAGGAGCGTTGCTGGAACGTTTAAAGTCAAGGTTGGGCAAGAGAGAGGTGGGATCTTGTGGAGGGGTTAGAAAGAGAGAAGGAGTTGGAGTTAAAATAGTGAATTAATTAAATCTGAGTTGAAATCGTTGATTGCAACGGTTTCAGGCAACAAAAGCACAAAGTCTACTCGCTAGAGTGTAAATTTAGTAAAGCAAGGGTAACACAAATATGACTATTGCGTGGGTTCGGGCAGTTGTCAGGTAGTAATAATGTATTGAAAAATTAGGATCGGAAGAGTTGGTTGTGAGTTTGAGGGAGAAAATCCCAAGAATGTTTACATAAAAGGTCGTTGAGAAGGATGGTGGCAGTTGCATCAAAAATGTTTTCGAGAAAGGAGAATTGGTTGGTTTGTTTAAAGGGAAAGCTTGAAAAGTTAGGAAATCAATGACGGGCAAAAGGAATAGTTAGAAAATAACAGTAATGTCTAATAATATATCATAGATTGGAGAGACGAAGTATTTTCTTCCAGTTCCAAGAAATAAAGGATCGCAATGTTATTACTGTTCCGGATATGGACGCTTAGCAACAAATTGTTCGTCTAGAAATACTACAATAACAAGCCCAACAAGCCAATACCTTAAATTCATTGGAGTTGTTTGGTTGTCGGCCAAGATTAACAGGGAAATTATCCGCATAGGTAGAAAATGTATCTTATTCTGATGTTGGTGCAGCCATCTATATAATCAATCAACAGCTTCAAAATACTAAATCATAAAATTTTATATCATTTTAAAAAAAATTAACCGACAAATTTTATTGCTCATGACTCAAAGCTTCAAAACTTATCAGCTAGTTCTTTCTTAAATTAAAAATTGGCCGAGCCTTAGCATTTTGAAAATTCCAAATTTTGTTATATACATATACATACAATAAAGAGTAAATTTCGTGTAACAAGTTTTTTTCCATAGAATTTTTTGTATTATTTATATAATAAATAATAATAATAATAATAATAATAATAAATAAAAGTCCCTTATGACATTAAATGAAAAACATTTCCAAATTTTGTCATGCATTTCAAAGTATGGTAATAGTAACACGAAAATTATTAAGAAAAAAAAACCATCCTTTTTAGATGAATTGACTCCCTACGTATTTTAAAGCTGAATTTAAATGGTGGAGAGTTTTTAAAAACAAACATGAATCACATGATATTTCAAATTTAACTTTAGAGTATAGATGATCCGCACTGTATTCGCATTCGGATTTATAATGATTTAATTTAACCTTGTAATAATTAATGAAATAACAACACTGATTATATTTTTGGCGTATTCAGTTTTTTTTTCAAAGATAATAACAACAATAAATTACATAATCTACTTTTTAAAATAATTACATTATTGTTAAAATGATATAGGAAGGAATCTACTTTTGAATAATGTATTAAATTTGTTTCGTACGACAAAATTTAGAATCATTTGAATATATATTTAACATGCATACATATACACATATGCACACATAAATAGTAGGGAAAAATCTTTTTGTGCCTGAAACCTTTAAAGGGGGGATTTAATTAATTGAAAAAAAAAAATAAAAAATAATATCAATTGCATTGGTTTTGTTGATAAAATTATTCAAATTTTGTAAAACAACCCTGCCATACTATTTATATTATATTATTTTATATTTTATTATTGTGTGCGTTGTGTGTGATCAAGGATCAATTACCAGTCATTTGTAATAATTGTAATAATTACAAATTAGTTAAGTTTACGTCACAATTATGCTTCTCCATGAAAAGTTACTCTAATTAATAAACTCGATTTGTTTTTTTATATACGGTTTTATATTTGTTTATTTGTTTTTGTTTTATCAAACTTTTCACAACATATTAAAAAAACCATTCATATAAATAATTAATAATTAGCTTTTTTTTAAAAATCTTATTTTCGTTACGTTAAAACTTCTCTTCCTCTCTCTTTTAAAAAATACTTTCTTTTCTTCCCTCCTCCAAACCATCTTTCAGGTTTTTTTTTGCAAAGAGAAATTAATTCCTTAGATTTATTCATTTATCTAAAAAATCACGATATTTATCATTTAAATGAATTATTCATTCATTTATTTATTTCAAAGAAAAAAAAAAGTACAATTTAAATCGTAATAACATTATTTTATTTTATTCGTATAATGATGAGTTCAACTGCTATAACTACCGCAATAATGTATGAAGAAGATGACAACTGTGAAAAATATGAAGACACACCGTTAGCGAAATGGATATCACGTATTTTCAAAGACCCAGGCAATTGTGAAGATTGTAACGAACCCGAACTACAACCGTTCTGGTGTCACAATTGTAACTCGGAACGATTCACTAGGAATTTCAACAGTTGGACTAGTGGACATCGAACACTTGATTATTTGATAAGCGAAGTGCAACTGGCAGCCGTTTATTTCTCACAAGTGATCGAATGGATTCCGTATGATCGATTTAGAAATGTCTCGTTTATCGGATCTGGTGGTTATGCCAATACTCATAAAGCTATTTGGCTTGATGGACCTATTTTGTCGTGGGATTCTAGAAAGAAACAATGGTATCGAGCCAAAAATTGTTCGGTTGCTTTAAAAGTTATGCATCATACCAGATCAAATATTAGTGATGATTTTATCAAAGAGGTAAACATTAATTTATTGTTATTCTTTTTTCAATTCTATCTCGAACCCTACGTCTAATTAATTATAATTAATTATACATATAGATATGGACACATACGTTATGCGGGATGGGAAAATTGATTAATATATATGGGTTCTCACAAGATCCAAAAACCAAAGATTATATACTTGTATTAGATTATGCAGATAATGGCAATATTCGTCAATTTTTACGTAGGCATAATAATAATCATAATAATGATAATTCGTCAAGATTAAAATTTATAATAAAGATTATGAAAGAAATTGCAGAAGCATTAGAACTTATTCATACGATTGGCACAACACATCGTAATTTACATCCTGGTAATATATTAATAAATAGCATTGGAAGTGCATATATAGCAGACTTAGGATCATCGATTCCACCGAACGAATCGTTACAGTCATCGTCATCATCATCATTATTATCTACAACAACCGCAGCAGCAACAGCAGCAGCGGTAGAAAAAAGGAAATTATATGGAGTCTTGCCATATGTTGCACCAGAAGTATTATGTGGCAAACAGCACACCAGCAAATCGGATATTTATAGTTACGGAATGGTAATGTGGGAATTACTAACCCATCAACCACCATTTAATAAATATGGACATAATTTAGAATTGGCGATATCGATTTGTCGAGGGCTTAGGCCTGCAAGTTATAAAACCAATGATTTGCCAGATTCGATTATCAAATTGATGAACAATTGTTGGGATAATAATTCAAAGAAACGACCGGATGCACAAGAAATAATTAGACGATTAAAAGATATCCAGTATGAGTTGTGGGGCGAAGAGCATTATGCTAATTTGGAAAATGAACAACGACATTATTCTTCTTCTGAAGGAGCAAGTAATAGCGGTGGCGGTGGCGGAGTTAATCATCCCGAAGCTATTTATACTAGTCGCACATTACCAATCATTACCCCAAAATTAATGAATAAATCTTGGGTTTAACTCAATTTTTTTTTAAAAAAGCACAACATGTACTAATAATAATATTCTATATCTATAATAAATGTGTTAATTGTAATTTTATATTGAAAATTTCACTTTTTTTTTTTTTCGAAAAAAGAAATTCCTAAAGTAAATAAATACAGTTTGAATTTTTTTTTTTTTTTTTTGGATAAAATAATAAATGAATAATTTACAATGAAATTCAGTCAGCTATAACTAATTTCTACGATACTTTTATTTCTATTAAAAGTAATATCTAATTTTTTTATCTTCTGGTGAATATTGATTTAAGTCTTTTAATTTCACTGGAAGTACAAAATACAGATGTGACTATTATACCAATCATACTACCAATTACATCATTTGGTTGTATGTGCGGATTAAAATCTTCTCCAGTCAGTGCAACTTTTAAGGTAGTGATTGATCCTAAAAAATTTATTATTATGAAAAATAAACAAAATAGTGCCATACGTTTTGCTGCAGATTTTGTTGTATCATATGTTTTTTTTTGTAGAACTTCTGTTCGGTTTTGTGAAGTATTGGTATTTTTACCTTCGTTAATCCTATTATTATCACCACCATCGTTACTATTGTTATCTGTACTATTCACACGTACATAGGTGTCTTTATTATTATCTTTATTTACAATTATGGAATTAGCTTTAATATTTTTAATTGTTATTTTTGTTTCGTTAAGATGGTTATTATTGATATTTTCTTCGTTGTTGTTATTGTTGTTGTCTAAAAAGGCTGGTGGTGGTGGTAATAGTGGTGACGGAAGTGTCGTCAACCCATATTCGTTATTATCGCTGACACTGTCTTTATTGCCTTCACCGTCTGATAAGCGGTTCTCATAATAGCTACTAATAATGTTTTCTTCGTTGTCGTTGGAAAAGACTGGTAGTGGTGGCGATATTGGTGACGAAAACGTTGTTAGTTCATATTCATTATTATTGCTGACGTTACCGTTATCATCTAACAATTGGATATCATTATCTTCGTTGTCGCTCAAAATGGCTAGTGGTAGTGGTGGTAGTGGCGGTGATGGCGGTGATTCCGGTTCATGTTCATTATTTTTCTCTTTATTGCTTTCGATATCATTTTTGCTTGACTCTTGACTACCAGTTAATGTAGGATTGGATGATTTGTTACTGCTTTTTAATGACATCGTTCTAAATCTTTCCAAATGTCGAAATACCATATAAGCTGAATGACCTATTGATTTTTATTAATAATAAACATTATAGAATTAATATAAAAAAGAAAAAAAAGAAAAAAGAAAAATAAAATAAATATAAATATATATATATATATACAATACCACTAAAATACACTCCAGGTATGGCAAATATAACATTTACTCCAGAATAACCAAGTAAACGAACATAAGCTGGTCTTAAGACGTCACTACAATAAAATAATAAAATAATAAAATAATAAAATAATAATAAAATAGTAAATATTTTGAAAATCAAAATAAACAAAATTCACAAACAAATAAACAAAATCAAAATATAAATAAATAATAGATAAATAAATACCAATTCATTTTTCTTGGTTGAATCGAATCAGTATGTGAAGCAACTATCCCCAAGATCGTGGTGAATGTTATTGTATAAACCGCACAAGCTATATAATATCGCTTCTTTATACGTATTGATGTATCGTTTATCTTCAAAACTATTAGTCTATAAACGTGTATTGAGAAACAAAGTGCAGATATATCTTGAGCAAATGTATTAAATTGAAGCTGTGTCAAATAAATGAATTGTAAAATAAATTGGAGAATAATGATTAATATTTATCCAAATATATATATATATATATATATATATATTTAGTAATTTATATTAGTATGCTTACAAATAAACCTTGGAAAAAGCAAAAGGCTTTTGGTGCCCTTTCTAATTGATTATCGAATACAATGCTAAATAGAACATTTAGAGACATTAAAGCTGTAGTTATACAAAATATTTTCACCATCGGATTCTTTCCACTTAAATGGAATGCCGTTGCCATACAAAGGGTCGAAAAGAATGATATAGTCCATAGTATATTTAAAATTATTACTCCGGGTTCCATTATGGTTATAAGAGAGAGAGAGAGAGAGAGAGAGAGAGAGAGAGAGAGAGAGAAAGTAGATGGTGGTATGAATGTGTGTGTAGGTTTATAATTTTATTTTTTTAAAAGTATTATAAATGAATGTGAGGTGATTGTGAATGTGAAAAAGAGTAGGAATTCATATATATATTAGTAATGGTTTTGTTTTTTTTTTTTTGTAAATAAACAAATTATAAAGATCAAACTATTTTATTGAATTTTTTCTTGGAATAAAAGGATTTATTTATATATATATTTAATTTTTAAAGATTCTTTTTCATTATTGGTCTTGATTTGAAAATGTTTAAACTCTTTATATTTTTAGAGTTTGAAACACTAATTCGCGAATTTCTTTAACCAGTTAATTAATTTTTGTAGTGATTGTCCTATTTAATAGACAGAAAGAGAATCCGTTGCATTCTAATTTTATTTATATAAACAAATCGCTTGTGTTTAATCGAAAACATCAAAATGAATCGTATCGTCGGATCTGTTTGTGTGCACGGCCACGATCATGACCGCGCTGACATTTATTTACATTTACATTTACATTTACGGTTAAAAAAATCATAGAATTTCTTTTTTAAAAAGCGGTTCCAATAATTCTAAAGAACTCTGATTATAAAAAGCTGACTAATAATATTACGATAATGTAATAAATAATAACGATAGAAATAGTGTGATACATATATTGACTATATAATTTATGATACAATATATATTTTTTTTTGTAAAATTCAGAATTTTATTTTGTTGAATTCGTTTTTTTTTTACTTTTAATTTTTGTAAATTCGTCAATTCTATCACTATTATATAAATTCTATATCAAAACCTGTATTTATTATGAATTAAATCGGTTTTGTTCTTATTCCCCGCTGTTCTGACGATCTAAATAAAAAACCACGGACATGATATTAATTATTTGGTACTAGTAGGTTAACTGATACTATTCCTATTAAGGAAAATTATTGTTTGAAATAATAGAGAATGAAACATGTCGTTCGTCGTTGTTAACATATGCATAAATATGATAACATACAGATACAATTAAATAAATATATGCATTAAATATCATTAAATTTAAGAAAAAAAGTATCTTTGGTCAAATTGTAAATTATTATTTTAATTATTTTGTCTAATTAACAATATTTTTTTCCTTCACTAGCAAAAGTTTTTAATTGGTGGTAAAATTTTAGCAGTTATAACAAGTTTCCTATATCTCGTGACTTGTACACTGGTACACATGGTGATGACGACAAATGATTTTAGTAGGACAAATTTTTAATTGGGTAACATAGGCCTAATAAATTAAGGATACACAGACTAAAATTAAGTTTATTGTGCTAATTCATAATTTGGGAATATGTATAAACAAAGAAATATCATCTCGAGGCAAAAAGGTTAGTTTTTGATATTAATTATCTATTATTCTTATATTTTTATATAGACAATCATTATGATCAAATCAATGGACGTGTTGGATGTTGTTGATCTATTACTCTATTACACAACAACCCCCAGGTTGAAACAACCTATATTTAGGAAGTTCATTTTTGATTTATTGAATATCGTTGAATGTATTTTTAGAAATTTCGGATTTTCGCGTTTTGTGTATAATTAACACAAGTCAAACACAAACCTCGATAAGCGATATGCCGAACTTTTGGGAATCACAAAAATTCGGTTTATGATGATTTACAATTAGTGTTATTTTATTATCACTATTCGCCGCGTGTAAAAAATGCATGTGTGACTGATTTGGTTAACCAATTTGCGAAAATCGGTTTATAGTGGTTCGGCTTATCGAGGTTTGACTGTACGTAGTAAAGATTATCTAAATCAAAAAAAAAAAATTTTTTTTTTCTTTAAACACTTTAATCACAAAGTTCCCGAATTGTTTAAAAAAAATTTTATTGAATTAGTTTTTACAACATTTTTCAAACTTTGTGTAGATTAAATTATTCTCCAAGTATTACTACTTAACCATTCATTAAATATAAATCTTAATGTGTGGGTGGATATTTAATATTTAGAGAACATACATAAAAAATTGATAAATTAATTATTGATGAATTACATACAAAATTAATATGAACAGACCTCTTCACCGATAAAACAAATACTACGATGACTTTGTAACACTAAGAGCTAAGATAATAAGAGAACAAAAACTTTCACTACGGATAGATTGTCGAGCAAATGGAAAAACTACAGAGTGACCTTTGTTACGTACAAATAAAAAATAATCTGGTGCAATGAATAGTCAGTCATACTCAAGATCCAGATGCTCGCATGTCTTTTGACAATTAGAAATTGAGTACTTGTTCTGGAGCTTTTAAAAACGTTTTAGCATGATAGTCGATTAACGATGTAATTTAATCACTTGGTGAAGGAAGGAAGCTTTGAATCAATCAATAAATTTTGAAACTATCAAAATTTATTTATTTATTATTTATCTGTTAATGGTTTCTTTATTGTAGTCGAGGATCACAATCTGACATGGTCAAGGTGAAGATCGATTATTTCAACTAATTATTCAACAAAAACTTTAAAGAATGCATTATAAATATTAATATTGATGGTAGTTGTGAAACAAAAGCCGTATAAATCTTGATTTGCCAATTAAAAAATGATACACAAAATTTAAATTATGGTTAGGAACGTCATATAAATTTTAGCCATTCATCAAAACCGACAACGATGTTGTGGAAAGAAACAAAATAGCCTGCAGAAAAAAGTAAATTTAAAAAGGTTAGTACGGCACTTGCTTCTTTAAACTTCCTGACTGGCTTGAATATCTAATCCCATGCTTTCTTCACAATCAATTATTCGTTTCTGGGTCCTATAAAAACAAAATTTGAATATATAAATTTTTTTTTTGGTTGAGTTTCTTTCCATTTTCCTACTTTTCCTACTTTCATCATTATTTCAGAATTCTCTATCATCCATATTTAATTAATAAAAAAAAAATTTAGCTATATCTTAAATTAAATGTTATTCTACAATTAGTATGTTCATGGTTTATCAGGATATGTATGTTCACTTATTTCGTGTTAGATTTTCAATAAAGTGGAGAGAATTTTATCCAATCCAATTACCAATCCCTGTGCGTGTATAAACCCTTATTCAGCTCTAAATGGTAATTCCAGGTAAAGTCAAGTCTATCAAACAAAACCATTTACCTTTCCCACGATTTGATTCTAAATTAGCTACATGTACATATGCGTATCTTTGATAGCCAATATCCTGCTTGATTCAATATTAGAATAATGACAAGGATTACAATAAAAAAAAACTATAATATAATGTGGAGACTTTACTATATTTACCGCTGCATGATGAGAATCTATCGGAATTCCTGAATTCGGCACTATGTATAAACCATAATAATAGTAATAGTAATAGGGTAAATTTCGGAATGAGACCTCTAATACTAATACTAAAGTCGTAAAGTCGTAAACCATAATAGTAATAGTAATGCCATCGTATATCGTAAATAAAAAAAAAGTCCAAATAATAATTATTTGCAAAATGTATAAATGATTTCCAAATTTGGAGTCTCTAATATATGTGGCTAATGCAGTCAGGAATTTTGCTAAATCGGGATGTGTAACAAACAATGTTCTAGAAAATTTTTCCCCAATAAAATTTCGTAAAAAAGCCATTTTTCTTTATTGATCTTGTGACTTTTTTTTTTAAGAAACCTAAAAAAAAAACCGAAGAATTATATAGAAACGCATATATTAAACCATAATCAGTCAATAATCAGTTCGGAGCGTTGAGGGATCTCAGTGATCTGAGTACTGAAAAAGTTGGACAACAGAAGGAATAGTTTGAATTTATAAATTTTTATATTATTCATTTATTTAATTATTACATTATCTGTTAATGATTTAATGATTAGCAAGTCAAGATTTTACAAACACATGAACTTTAAAAGAAGTTAATTAATGATTTCTTCTTCGTTGTAAGTATTTTCTTTTTGTAAATTTTCTAGCTCATTTAATATATCTATTAATTCACTTTTCTTTTTAGAAACTATTGTACTATATTTTAAATTGATATTAT